ACTCAGTGATGTTTCTTCTCCTTGAATTTTCACTCTGGAGACCATCCTGGGGCCCCTCTGAGTGACCAGTGTGAGAACAGCCCGAGGGTGGGGGCCAGTCCCACGGCTGAGTAGTTAAAGTTCTGTGCACCCCACTTCAGTGGCCTGGGTTTCACGGGTTCAGATCCCACATACAAAGTAGAGGAAGATTGGCACAGCTGTTAGCTCAGCAACAAACTTCCTCAAGCGAAAAAAAAAGAGGAAGACAGGCAATGGATCTTAGCTCAGGCTGACTCTTCCTCACAAAAAAAAGAACATCCTGATGGAGAGCGTGAGTGAATCTAGCTCCATAAAGAGACGAGTTGGACACCTGAGGGTCAGGTGGAAGGGGTGCTGTTGAAGGCGAGATGGACTGGCCTCCACTGGCCACAGGGGCAGCGACGGGGGCAGAGAAAGGGCCAGGTCCTCACCGCTCACCCAGATCAAGTCAGGAAACACTTTAGTTGTCTTCACGCCGTAGAAAATGCACCTGAGTAGGGCGTCTTGTTTAAACAGAACATCAGAGTCTTGTTTGTTTTTAGCCATGATGTAAAATCTATTTGAATAAAACACCTGGGGACCCACCTATTGCAGGCACTCTTGGTTCTCACAAACGAGGAGCTGCCTGGGACTCAGATCGAGCTCCTGCTCCTGCTTAAAACCCTTTCTCCTCAGCCTCAGCCTCTCTTCCGATCCTCAAGTCCTCATGTGCCCCTGCCATGGTGCCCTGAACCCCTGCCCCACACTTAGGGTCACACACGTGTGTCAGCACCGCCACGGAGTTAGTCCCCACAGGGTGACAAACCAAAATGCCTCCCCACCTTGCCACAGTCCAAGTGGGGCCACATCACCCCCAGCTCAGAACCGCTGACCAGAGGCGCGCCTGTGGCACGTTACTCGGTGGCTGAGGGCACCCAGCAGACCTCTGCACACGGATGAGAGAACTCTCTGCAGACACACGTCCCCACCCACCTGCGATGCCAGGGACAGAGGCACGAGTGTGAGCATACATGTGTGTGTGCGTGCACACGCGCGGGTGGTCTTTTGTTTTCTTGAGTAACTTTTCATTTTTCACATTAGGCATGCATTTGCTTTACATCTCAAATCAATCTAGAAACATATCTTTTAAAAAGGCCTGTCCACAAACACTAAAAGCTGCTTTTAATCATTATCTAAATCTCATCCACTCATGATATAATTCATTGGCATTTATATAAAAATGATAAACCAAAGTAAAAAAATACTTGCTATTGCAATTCTATTCCTCTGTAACTCTATCTGAATTATGTAACAAGTAGCCACAATAAAATAAAAAATATTATCTTTTTCTGTTAACCACATGAACAGGAACTTTCAGAGTTTTTGAGAAAAGTTTTGAGAGAAAAGTAGAAGAAAGTAAAATTACAACATACAACTATTTTTATCGATTCTGTGCACTATTTTTCAGCAGACAGCCTCAAATGTCCCAGACATAGAAGCTGCCTATAATTTTTATTTTTTATCAGTTAAATCAAAGTTGCATAATAGTTCATGTTGATAAAATAATAATGTGCATTTCTAGAGCTTTAAATTCCCAACGTCTGATCAATTCAGAGCATGATATTGACAAAGTAACTAACTCTGCTAATTTTGATTAAAGTGTTTACAGCTTGGCAGGAGCAACTGTAACAATGTAAAACTCGCTAGTAGGCACCCAATTATTTTAAGGGACTTTGAGTCCCTCAACCAGAAAGTAAAACTGAACACTTACTACACAAATTTCAGCCCCAAAGATGAGCAAGGCAGCAACAGCCACAGTTTTTGGCCCTCTGATCCGAGGACACCGGGGCGCTGGGCCGCAGCTCTCCCTCTGCTGAGCCACTGCGTGCGGACTTCCTGCCCCCCGGACGGATGCTGCGCTGAGCCGGGCAAACTCTACTCACAGCCAGACGCAGAAAACGTGTGTTTTGTACCTGACACCAGAATTCTCAAGTATTTGTTTTCAATTCATTTTTTTTAATAATAGAAGACAAATCTTCCTCTGAAATGATCTCTATTTTTGTTTGATGTGACAAAATTTAAATATGACAAGAGTCTACCCCTGACATTTTCTTAGCTGCACGTGATTAAGCCTGACAATTTCAACAGCAAAGTTCATAATTTTTAAAAACCCCTCTAATGCTGACTACAGTTGACACAATCATAGATTTTCTCTTGTAGCAATAACCTAAACTTAAAAACAAACAAATGTTGTCTGTTTGCATCCCTGTTCTGGGGACGAGGGCCCTGGAAGGGACCCCTTTTCCTTCCCATGAGGAAGAGCATGTGCAGAAGGCCCTTCAGAACTGTGATGAGCTGAGTAGGAAGAATTGCAAGGAAGCCACTAAAATCCTTTCTATACTGGGATTACATCTTAAATTATCTGTAATTTAAAAACAGGGTAATACAAACCCCTTCGTTTTCCCCCCAAAGAGATGAGGTAATTTTTCTTTGAGATGTCCCTCATAATATTAGGAAAGCATCTTTTCCAAAAACTCATGTAGCTGATTCAAATGAACGTGTCAATCTTGGATTGGCATTGGGAATATAAGGAAATAGCTTTCTCCCTCCTTATCCTGCAGGCGCATTGTAGGCACTTAATAAATGTCAGAGCATCCCGGCGACCAGGCGTCTGTGAAGGCGGGCTGGCGAAACAGCCTCTCAGGGGGGTTTCTGTCGAGACTTCTTATTGGACCAGTTGACTCCGAAGTCCATTTTACTTTTCAGGCTGCATGAGCCTGTTAGAGACAGAACATCAGCAAAAGTGTGAACGTGTGCACGCACGAGCGTGTGAATGTACTCAGATCTTTCCGTGTCCGTGTGGACCACTGTGTTTCACTGACAATAATTTCCATCATCAGAAGATGTAATGACAGCCGTTTGTGGTTCGGAAGCAAGAATTAGTGCATTCCACATTTCAAACGGAAAATGTGAAATACAATTTGAAAGGGAGAAAACTGCTGAGTGGACACTCAGAAGAGTGAGAGGTGTTGGGAAGTGAGTAGACGTCACCAGCCCTTCGCTTTTCTCTGGAACGATGAGAGCCCCAGCGCCCACGGCGCCTGTGCGGGCGGGGGTGGGGGAGGCCACCTCTGGGCAGACTCTGTCTACGCACAGTGTAGATGTCCAACCCTGAGTGAGGTGTCTGTGGGTTTCCTGCCATTTTGGGGTGATTAAATGCCTCATTCAGGCTCCAGTTTGCGGCTGGCGGCAATTAGAAATGCACTCCCTCCCTCGCACTGAGACGGTCATCTGTGGCATCAGAAGCAGCAGCAGATGACTATGTACGCTCACACTCTCCATTTCCATGTGAGCACAGGGTGAAGGGACCCCACAGGTGAAGCACCCCCCATCAGGCACTGCTTTTGAGGCCTCGACCCCGGCACCTGCCGACACCACAGGAACCTCTGGGGTGCTCGGCACCTTCTGTCGTGGGCGCCTCTGACCCTTAGGTGGGTCCTGTGTGGACTCAGAGCTGCCCGGTGAGGGGCGGCCCTGGCATAGACCTGCCCAAACATCCGTGGTGCATCCCCGGGCAGGGAGTTCCCCCTGTGTCTCCTGGTGATGTCCTGGGCACTGGTGTCCTCATCTCCATACCTCAGATGAGAGTCTGGGTCCCCTGTGGGTGTATGCCACAGCGTCCACACCCATCCTCTCTGGCCGCTGGCCCTGTGGCTGTGAGCAGCAGCTGGTGCCATGGACGGAAATGCTTGTCTCCGGAGCAGGGCCAAGCTTCTCGAGGGAGACGTCCACTGAAAGGCCCCACCCTTTCTATGACCCATCTCACCTCTGATGTGCAAAATTCCACCTTGTTGATCATTAAGAAAATCAACTCCTTGCCCAAAATGTGCCACTGGGATCAAATGCCCAGTCGCTTTTCATTCTGATGTACATGGATTGATCCACCTTAACTTTGTTTTCTCAATTATTTTCATGTCAGAAACCTGATACAGACTTTTTGTGTGATGAGGACTTTGTCAGTCCTTCTACTGAGCATGAGGGACCCAGTGTGATGTGAGGCTGGGAGAGTGGGATCCAGGAAGGTGCCTCCCCCCTTCACGGGGTGCTCAGGCCCATGACGCCCCCACTGAGGTCCAGCCTCCTCACCTGCCAATGATGCTTGTGTCACTTATCTGTGTGCTCTGGGGTTATTCTGTAAGACGCCGAGCACGCACTCCTGCACCTTCTCCACAGCATCACTTACAATGGCCAATGTTGTGCTCAAGAAACACCCGTGTCCCTGAATGAAGCCTCTAGAGCCACAGCTCTTCTCAGACGAGGATGCCCCGGACCCTTCTCTCCATCCCTTTGCTCGTCCGTCTCACAGTCTCTTCACCTGTGCAGGGTCCTCAGCAATCCCTTCCCTTGGGGTCTCTCCCATTCCCACGCCGCCCTGTGTGTGGTTAGTGCCAGGGGTCTCTGTGTGCCTGGGGAGGTGTTTCAAGCTCATTCGCAGGAGACAGAGTTCATTTAAAAACTTGGAACTTGCCAAATTAAACCCATTTGATTCATATAATTGGCATAATGTTCCCCCCAAGAAATTGACTTCCCCAAGGTACACTGGGCACGGCTTTGACACCTGGCAACCCAGAGCCTCTGATCCCAGAACTGGAATTTATGTGGGAAAAACACTCCAGCTGAAGACAACACCTTCTGCATAAACAGAAGACAATGATTATTCTCCCAGAAACGCGAGAGCCGTGTCCACAATGACACCTGCGTTTTCCTCTGTTCTACCTCGTTCTGAACCCACACACGAAGGTGTCACTGCAACAGCCCCTTCCCTCAGCAATTCCTCCTGTTTCACTTCTGGCTCCTGCCACCGCCAAGCCAGTGACAGGCGACAAAGCTCAGGGCTGTGACAAGGACAGCCGCCTTCCTTCTTCCAGCACCACTAGGGGGAGAAGAGGTTTGAGGTTCATTCGAAGGGGAGCAGGAGGAGGGAGCCGGCTGTGAGAAGCTTCTCTGCCTGGGGCCATCCTGCAGCCCAGCTCTCATCCTCTCCCACCTGTCACCGCAAGGGGTCCCCGCAGGTGGAGGCCACAGATGCCTGGGTCCACGCTTCTGGAGAGGAGGGAGCTCAGCCTGCAGCCAGGAACACTGTGGCCTGGAGGGGGCTCAGGAGGGGCGGGTGCAAGCTAGAAAGAGGCAGGGCTGAGCTAGAGAGACGGAGGGAGGAGAAAGAGAGAGAGAGAGAGGAGGAGAGAGAGAGAGAAAGAGAGAGGGAGGAGACGGAGGGAGCGCTGGGGACCTGGAGCCCCACTGGCAGCCAGGAAGTAGCTCCCCGCACTGAGCAGCCGCCCTCCGGCTGGATCGCCCCGTCTTGGGGGCCTCGGGATCAGGACCGGGAACATGGGGTCGGTCCCTGGAGCCTTCCTCCCTGTGATCCTTCTTCTGTCGGCAAAGAGCTGGGGTCCAGCCATGGCAGGAAACACAGGTAAGTGCAGCGAACGCCTTAGAACTTGCATGAGGCTCTCCTGAAACTTTAAACTGTGTTTTCGTTCTATTGTTAGTGTTTAGAGCTGGGATCACAGAACACGTTTCTGAAAATGAACCATCTTGGAAAAGCAGAGAAGGACCTGCTAAAGTGTAGCCCCAAATAGGACACGTTCCGATTGCTTCTCCTCTGGTCTGGTCCGGGCGGTTCACGGTGTGTTTTCTGTGGTTTTGTCTAAAAACAACACACTGTGTCCTTGTCTCTGAATATTCACTGAAAAAGCTCAGTTCTAGTAAATCCTGAAAGGGGCGTCTCAGGGGATAAACAGCCTGCTGGCGTCTCCGTGGGTTCCTTTCTCGCACGACTGCATTTTAGGGATGAAGGCTGATGGGGAAGCAAGTAGCAGGCTTTCTATCAGGCAGACTTCACCGGGATGTGGCAGTTCCCAGGTCTGCAGGCAGCGCAGGCCACACCTTTAGAAAGAAGGAGACACCTGGGTGCTTCCCATGCCCTCCTGTGCTAACCTGGAGCTCCGAGTGACGCTCCAACCGGGAGGGCTTCACAGTACAGCCCGGGGAGAGAAGGCACCAAAGCCTGCATTTCCAAGAGAAGTATCTCATTAAAGGAAGACAGATAAATCACTCTCCTCTTCCCCACGCTCCCTAAATAGCAGACGTGGAAATGATGGTGAGAATGACAATGCTTTAAGCCCTGGGTTATGGAACTTAACTTCCTTCTGTCAGTCAGCACCCTGTCTCTGTAGGTTCAGAGATCTCGGTCCTTATTTCTAGACTAGCATGTGGCTCTAACCCAAAGACGTTGTCCAGAAAAATCCAGGAGAAGCCACTTCACTGTGCACATCACAGCCGAAAGTTTGAAGAGTTGTACTTGGCTGGAGATATCTGTCGAGGAGATTGCTCCCCTTCTGATGAGTGTGGAGCCCGTGAAGACCCGGCGCTCCATCCCTCCTCCAGAGCCAGCCTCACTCTCCTCTCCATCCCTCTAAGTGCCCCGTGCCCTTCTGCTGGGGCATCAGGGGCAGGGGTGGTGGGCACCTTTAGGAGTTTGCAGCCCTGTGAGCCAAGCCCCCCGGACAGGAGGCGGCCCCCCAGGACGTCCCTGCACATTGGGGGTGGTACAGGTGCAGGGAAGACCATCCCTTCTCTGGGGCCCCCACACCCAGGCTGCATGACGGTGGGATGGCTCTCATGAAGCCTTGGAGGTTGTCACCCCAACAACGGGCGTTTGACGCCTGCCAGTGGGCAGGCACTGCCCCGTTCCTCCTCCCTGTGTCTGTGCTCTCCGAGAGCTGCATGCTTTAATGACGGGAAATTTACACACACGGCAGAAACGCTCGAGCCCTGCGGTGGCATTGACATTTTCCTTAAAAACAGAGCCGCAAAGAAATACTTTTAGAAACGACAGGCAGGCAATTGAGAAAAGACTGCTGATTATCCCACCAAGTGAGGCACCAGAGGCCACTGTTAGGACCCTGCAGGATGCCTCCAGCCTCCCAGAGAGATGCCTCTGAGCAGGGAGTGGGGTCAGGCACCTGCCATGAGGCTGGAATAAACACCAGCGCCTTCTCTATCTGGCGTTTGCTCTTCCAGGTGAACCCAGGGAGGGGGTAGGGTGCCAGAGGGGTCGGTGGCTCTTTTCTAAGCGGGCTGTTATTGGCTTGGCCCTGAGGTCCCCCCTTGAATTTCAGTGCTTTCGACTTAAGAACTGGCTCCGAGACATTCAGCGGTCTTGTATTCAGAAAGTGTTTAATCTCCTTACCAAAGAATCAAAATTTCAAAATACCCATGAAATTAAATTAGTAAGACCACTTTAGATGTGAAAGTTGGAGTCCTTGTCTCCACACCTGTGGTAGAAGTTACAGTTCTTCATGCATTAAAATGAAGTCTATTGACTTTATGACCCGAGTTCATCTTTTAGAAACAAGAAATCTGCATGTGCTAATTTCTTGTTCATCTCATTTTGAGAGTATTGTTTTTAACAGGAGAAATACTGATGAAGTTACTGTGTGTGGATGGCAACTTGATATCTGAGAGTCGTGACAGGAGGGAATAACGTTGAGGCCACAGTTGCGAGATTTGAGAGATCAGTTAGAGATGGGAATTCTGAGCGTTTGACAGCAGAGATGAAATTCAGCACGTGAATAAAATACCATGTGCATATGCTTTTAAGTGGCACACATTTTGGTTTTTTTTTCCTTTTGAGAAATGGTTTGAACTACTCATGTGATGCCTCCAGACAAGACTTTAGCCCAACACAAATGAAGCAATCCTGCGGGTCCCACGTGAGCGGGAGGATCGAGGTCTCCTCCACGAGGCCCCAGGACTCTCCCTCTCCGCCCGCTGGTTCTGCACACCCTCCCTGTGTGGGGTCGGGTGTGAGGCGGTCTCAACCGTGGGCACCTTTACTGGAGCTCCACGGAAGTCAGAGTGCCCCCCACAGGTGAAAACAAGATGGTGCTTGTCCCTGTGATTTGGGGGTTGTGCTGGACTCCCCATCTTTCCACTTCTCCGGTGTGGAGTCACCCCTCTGAGCCCCTCTGCTCCCGGGCAGAGAGCCGGGCCCCAGGCAGAGCTGGGAGCAGAGTGGAGGCGGGCATGTCCCGCGTGGCCCGCAGGCTGTGGTGGCCTCGGTGCCCGGACACGGGGCTGGGGTTCCTCTGTGCACATCACCGTGTGACGGAGGACCCTCTGGGCCTCAGGATGCTGAAGGGAAGGGGCCTGGCTCTCCCCCAGCGAGGAGGCTGATCCACAGCACACAGTGGAAGGCTGGCCTCACTTGGCGAATGACGTCCCCGTTGACGTGAGGGCTCACTGGGGCCCAAGTGGAAGGGACCTTCTGGACAAATTCTTTCCACAGCTCTCATCTCGCGTCTGGCCCCACAAGAACGGGCGAAGGCTGATGCAGACTCTGATCAGCTGCGTGGCGATGCGGCCTACGGGTGGAGGTGGACTGACTCTAAACTGTCAGGTTGTGTAATTCCTGATAGGAGCTGCCTTCCGTTTACCGCTCCTGCCAAAAGCTCCTTCTCAGAGCAAAAACTCAGTGCAGGGAAGGCTGAGACACTGCACAGCATCTGTGGCATGGGCTGGGTGGAAAAGGAGGCCCTTTGGCTGTGAGCACCAGCTTTCTGAGCCGCAGCGAGCAGGCTGTGCCCTCCTGACAGCGACTACGGGCCACAGTCACTCTCGTATCAGGAACCACGGGGCCTCACCTCTGGGCTCAGCTCAAGATCAACCCCCCGTTGAAACTCATTACAAGTCCTCACCTGAGTCCGTGTTACTGCCATGGCTGCAGCATGGTGGTTCTCCCTCTGCCCATCGTTCTGCAGCGACGTCCAGTTGTGAAAGGGCGTTGCTCCCCCGTCCGCTCACGCGCTCACTATCACACACTCACATCTGTGTGCACGGTGGCTCCTGCCTCACTCAGTGGGTCGCGTCCATCTCTGTTCTGATTTATTTGATGCTCAGACTGTCATGGACCTTCCGCTTCCGTCCCTGTGTGTGGTCTCGGTGTCCTGGTCGCCCTCCAAGCAGGGCCTCAGGTTCTGGCACAGCAGCACCTTCCAGGCTCATCTTACGCTGTTCCCGTCCAGCTCTGGAAGAGCCAAGCTCCCGGTAGGAACAGAACTTGGAAACAGAGGGCTGGATGGGAGGCGAGCTCTTTCCCGGCATCGGAGCGAGCTGAGACGGCCTGTGTACTGTGTGCACACCTGCCTCTGTCGGACGACTCCTCCAGCGCAGTGCGGGTTGGTGGAGAGCTGGTTCCTCCTCGTTTCTGATCCCTGGGGCCTCGTGAGTGCCTCTATGAGTCAGACGGGCTGTAAGTTATCTCGTCAGTGAAGAATCCTCTATCCCTGGGTTCTGAGAATGTGTCCTCATCAGAGAGGGCATTACACATCGTGAGAGGTGTTTCAGCATTTGGGCCATAACCCTGATTTTTCTCTTTAGATGTGAATATGGCCAATTATGTTAATAGAGTTTCCAAAATTGGATGGTCTTCTCGTTCCTGGATAAGCCCCTTGTCAGGGTGCATCATGTTCTCAAGGAGAGTGTCATCCAGCCAAGAATATCGTAGTTAGTGTTTTTAACTCAATATTCTTGAGTGATTCTGGTTTGTAACTTTTTTCTTTTTTGCTCTTTTTATCAGATATAGCTATTAATGGTACTCTCGCTGCCTAAAAAGCATGGCAATTCTCCCCGTTTCCATGCTCTGGAGTAATTTATGTGGCATTAGCCTCTCAGTTTTGCAGAATCACCCATGAAGCCATCTGGGCCTGGTGATTTTACCAGTTTTTCCAGTTTGTGGATTTGTTCTTTGATAATCTTCACTTTCTTTGACAGAAATTGGTTTGTTTAAGCATTCCATCTCTAATTTTGCTAAACTATATTTTACTTGGAAATTATTGTTCCGTTTACTTTTCAAATTTACTTGCACAGAGGTGTGCAAATTAGCCTGGTGTTTTTCTGCTTTTGTTGCCATGTGCTTTCTTTCCCTGTCATCTCTAATTTTGTATTTTTGTACTATCTTTCATTTTTTCTTCATTTGTCTGATGGTTTATTATATTGATTTTTTTCAGAGAACCATGATTTTAGATTATTAATTTGATTCACTGCTTTCCGTTATCTCCCTTATTAACTTCAGCTTTTATCTCTATTTTTCTCCTTGAGTTTATTTTGGTTTGAACAGTGGTTCCTTGGCTAAACGTTTGAGTAGTGGATTTGATTTCACTTGTTTTCATTCTTCTATTTATAATGACACTGACGTTTAAGGCTATGAAATATCCTCTGATCTCTGTTTTACTTATTTAACAAAGAATCTATCTGAAATGTAGTGTTGTTATTGTCATTATTTTTCAGAAATCCTCATATTGTGTTTGTATTTCCTCTTCTACATAAAAGTTGTTTAATGGAAGGTTTTATTTTTTTCCAAATGGAAGGATTGTTTTGCTTTTATTATTTATCGCATTGTGATCAGAGAAT